GCATGGAGGAAATGATTCCTCCGTGTTGACCCTCCTCTTTATAGACTGGAGACTGGTTCAAGTCCATCTGGTGGGGTCTCCTTGGCTTCCTTGATCAAGAGGTCAGATGACCCACCACCATTACAGGACATTTTGCGAGGTGCTCATAGTCCCTGGGAACTAATCAACCTAGGAGGGCAAGGAGCAAAAAGCGTCCTTTGTGTCCCTCTGACCCAATTAGTATTGATCTCAAGATATGTCTGTTAAACATCCAAGAAGGTTAGTTCCACCATTCTGGCATTGTTAATTACTGTGTGTCATACAGATAAGTCTTGGGTAATGATCAGTTGGTCTCAAATAAACCTTATCTAGAGATATTTTTCTTGGTCTGTTGTGTATAGTCAGTAGATTGTAGGAATAATATGGTTCCCTCTGGTTTTCGTGACTAGCTAGGCATTGTTTCTCTCTTGTATCGTCTCACCCTCTATCATGGGTTTCCCACTTAAGCTGCCCCCACTTCCCCCCCTTTCTTCCTTACTAATACCCTTGCTCCTATAATCCTACCTCTTTTGAGCTTCTTCTTTCTCCTTATCCCCTAGGTTCCTCATATAGCCTTCCTTCTCCCCTCCCTTAAACTAACCCAATTTTTATCCATATCTCCCTTATTAAGGCCGATTACCTACTATTTTTTTCCTTCAGGTTATTCCTTTTCCTTTACCTCAGTGTTTCCTTCCCCTTGTCCTGGTTCCTGCAGTTATGTCTGCTTGCATACTTATTTATCAGGGTCTGATGCTAGGATCCACATATGAGGGAGTACATATGTCGATTTTTTTTTTCTGAGATTGTGTTACTTCACTTAGTATAACAGATTCTAGTTCCATCCATTTACCTGCAAATTTCATGATTTCATCTTTCTTTACTGCTGAGTAAAACTCCATTGTATATATGAACCACATTTTCATTATCCACTCATCAATTGAGGGACACCTAGGTTGCTTCCATCTCTTAGCTATTGTGAAAAGAGCAGCAACAAACATGGATGTACAAGTGTCTCTGCAACAGGACGAGTTCTTTGGGTATATGCCAAGGAGTGGTATAACTGGGTCAAATGGTAGGTTCATTTGTAGTTTTCTAAGAGTTCTCCA